GCTGTGCATCTACTTAGATGGGTCATCTACCGGCCCAGCATACTCAGCCTATGGCTACGCCATATATAGGGATAGAGAACTCCTAGCGAGCGGTGGTAACTTCCTTCCTGGAGCTGAGATTTTTGATGCGGAAATCGTGGGGGGCAGTTCGAGGTCTAGAGGCAGCATTAAAAATTGGAGGGAGTATAGATATCAAGGTACTCCTCGACAACCAAGAGGCGGTTAGAGCCCTTGCAACTGGTAGAACAAATTCCTCGCAAGTAGAGGTAATAAATTTTTGGGAATTATGCAAGACTCGACCAGCCATAGAGGTCTGCCGGGTCCCGGGACATAGTGGCATACTAGGCAACGAAAGGGCCGACGCGATAGCAAAGGCAGCACTTGCAGCAAAGATTAGGGAAGGGAATCTACCGAGACCTAGGATCATCTGGTGTCACAGTTCGAATATAGAAAGCGAATGGGCATTTGTATGATTGAAAGGTAAAGCTATAATTCATCTATGTAGAAGCAAACTACCTACAAGTCTCCTCTACTACTTATACACATCCAGAGGTATCTAAATCTAGCCTACGTTTACAGTGGCAATGAAACTGACGTAAGGTTTGTTCTGCCACACGGGTAACGCTTCCGATATTCTTGGCACTATCCTTTACGTAGCCTCAGTGGCGATCTCATATCAGTTTTCGTCTGCTGATAATCCTCGGAGTGATAGATAATATAGGTTGCCTTCGATAGCCATCGAAGGCTACAGGGCTTATCGGCTCACAAGCCGTCACATCTGGAAGGAAGCTCACGAAGTCCTGACATTTGCAGCTCTCAGACGCCAAGTCACAATCCGCGTACAGAAACTGGCGAAAGATTGGTGGCATAAGAACAGAACGGACAGGTATGAAGATCTGGACCTACTGATGCGAAGAAAACGGCCTCCGGAGCTAGCTCTACCTCGATGGGCATATCACCGCCTCATCGCAGCAAGGACTGGGCATGGTGACTTTGCCAGCTATCATAGATGGTTCCAACACCAGAATGAAGAAATAATCTGCAAATGCGGCAGAGAAAAACGGCCATGGCATTTTGCAGAATGTCGCCTGGCTATCCAGCAATGGCGGACGGAAACGAAGGAAACCCGACCGACTATAAGGGTCATGATAGGGCAAGAAGGATGGCACATATTCTGGCGCTTTTTAACTGTAATAAAATGTTACAGCAAGATTGACTCGTGAATAGGGGATTTAAAGTTAAACTGTAATGCTTCTTGGGGCCGTTCGGTGTAGTACGAGAATTAAGGTGTAGTGCAGGGCATTAGCACCTTAGAAATGGTGATTTAATTGTTTGTTTTTTTTTTGTTCTGCGTTCCTAGTTTCTATGAAATAAAAATATAGGTAGCGAAGAGTCCTATAGATCTAGACTACCCGTGCCATGCCCTCTGGGTGCTGGGGCAGTACCCGGTCACGATAATAATAAAAATCATCATCATCATAACTCCATTATGTTCAGGTACAGGAATGATTATATTTGACCAACAATCTTATAATTCAACACATATGACGATATTTTTCACGGTCCCGATTACATCGTCTTAACAGGGGTCTGACTGTATCATGATTTCCTTGATGTCATACTGTCCCCAATTCGAGGATATCATCTGCGATCTATTAAATGACGTGAGGATGTTATTTGGCTAGAATATGGAGTCCGAAAACGGTGCATCTTCAACTACTATCAATAACTCATCATAATCGTTCAATCTGTGAAACTATGACACGATATTAAGGAGGGCAAGACTGAACACCCGTTCGCAGTGTCCACTACGAACCTGGGAGTGAAATATTCTCCCAGGGTCGAGTTCAGTCAAATTCGCAATACTCTAGATGTTGACCCACGGGGCTACAATTCGAATTACTCTACTACGTCAAATTTTCACTCCCAAAGAGTTTGACCCCAACCTAAGTCTCGTCAAGTCTACAAGTACGACCTGGTAAATCCTCATTCCAATGACCACACCTGCCGGCGAAGACCAATTCTTCACCTTCCAGTAGTGTCGGTGTAATCGCTCAGTATTCTACGCGTATCACGGATAGCCAATATGAAGGCTAGTGAGCCGATGAGATCCCTGTAGCCTGTGCTATTCAGCACAGACATATTCATAGAGTCAGCGTTAAGTTACGCTCGTATTAAAAGTTGGAACTGCCCATGATTGAGACGTTGGAAACTAGCCAACACCTGAATAATGGGGGCACGACTGGAGGACAGCCATAGTGTTTGGAACATTGCAATCATGTATACAGAGGGCGTTAGATGTTGCATTACTTTTGTTCTTCAGTTAATAAATAAACTTACCTTTCGACATACAAACGCTCAAGCTTTATATACCGGGACCGTTACAGCCAAGAAGAATTGCATCCGAATCGAAGTCGAAAGCAACCTCAAGCGTATCTAATATCGACGACATCTCGACAAATATTTGACCTATCATTCTCTAGCGGACCTCCATCTCAATCTTACCACACCACCTCGCCTCAGGTACTGATAATGGTGTTACTTCAATTGCAATCGGGTGTTTTTCCCATCAAAAATCGGTCATCTCCCACTAAACAGTTACGATGCTATGTATACCCGCGAGGAGGAAATTAAGTCATAATATACAAAGCTCGGGCCTTGGTCTATGTGGGACCGTCGCTCTAATGAGATTATTCATCTTGAGGAAGGACAGGCAGCTGGAATGTGGGACGAGCGAGGGATGAGGTCACAATTGGGCACATTAGGTTTCCCATTTTTCGGGTATTTTCGACTTAAGGGTGTCTGTGGGCGCCGAGGCAACGATTTAGGATAGTGCTATCGACACTCTAAAAATAGGCAACGATGGAAGGTGTTTTGGTCCGCCTCCTGGTCGTCATCTCCCCGAATTAAAGTCTGGGTAGCCTGGACACCTACCTCACTCGAGAAGGGAGGACTGTGAGGCCATATCTCGCGCGGCGGCTATATACAAGATGGCAAAGGCATGTTAGGGTAGCCAAAGTTTTTTCTTGTTCTCCCTTTGGTGGATATATTGAAGGGTAGATATGGTATGAATAATATACTGCTGATAAATGCCTGGAGCTTAATTTTTTGGTATGCTTATAATACTTACTACTTAGTTCTACATTTACGATGCATTCAATATTTTTTTAATTTTTTATAATAAATAACGTCGTGCCCGCGCACAGTACGAGAGCTTTTTACGTTTCGAAGTGTATTTATTTTCACCAGATTTTAGTTGGGCATTCAGCTTTCGAGACTTGACAGAGTGTTTGTGTTGATTATACTACTTGATTCTATGACTATCTAGCACATTGAGCTCCTCTCTGACACAGGCCACACCTTGTACAGTGCTCCTTGCCTCTTATGTTTCTTGAAAGATCATTGTATATCGCTTGTGATAAATGGTTACTTAGCTCAGTAATTACCCGTGGAATTCAGCCATCTTTTCCACGGAACCTTCAACCCAAAAGAATGGTAGCAATAGAAATTGTGTGCGCGGGAAAAGGCCTCAAAAAACCTGCAGCCCCAGCCAGGCGAGACCTTGACACCAGGACCACACGAAGTGTGCAAATATATCCATATCTCCATTCTTTGTAGCATTAAAGGCCAACTTTATCCAATCCATCATCTTCATTTTGAGTGCTGGGTACGCTCCGGAAACTCATCGGATGGCTTCTCCTCCATGATCAAGGGCGGGTGATGAGAAGGGCTTCGACCCTACCATCTGATCTGATCGTGGTTAACTTCGTAATAATGGTGATAGGGGATATGCTTGGGGATGAAGACGATGCAGACCGCGAAAGCGATTGGGAATCCTTATCGCAGTAAGGACTTTGTAACTCAATCTCGGCTCTGCAGACTCTGCAGTGGGAGTTAGACTTTGTTAGGGGACACCACTGACAGGTGTTGAGAATAGTCCCCCTCAAAAATGAATAAATCGTTCTGGACAATCATTTATAACGAAGGAAGGTCTCCATGAAGGTCAATCCAAAATACCTGTATAGATATCAACCATGAAATGTCAAACATATGGTTTTAGCGCGCTCTCGGTGGGCTTGGGGAAAAGGAGAAGTGCTACGACTGGCAAAGGATAAATCTTTGGAGGTCATTAATAGTCCTGTTAATATAGAGAGAATTATATAGTGGATACTAACTAAGGCTGGTTTTAATAGATCCAGATAGCAGGGGAAGATGTGATAGTGAATTCAAACATGAAGCGATCTAGAAAGATGGGACGGAACTTAATTTCCATGGAGAATGTGAACGCACCTCTCTAAGAAAATCCTTGAAATTCAATAGATACAAGACAGATAGGATAGGAGGCTCTAACGTATTCATTTACCCCTTTGTACTTATTTATGCGATATATACCACGATGGATCAATTGGGGACATGAACGTGGTGTCTGAGATCGAGTCAAACACACGGATCTATAGTAAACCAGCTACTAGATTAGTATCAGTTACCTCTACCTCTACGTAACATGAATTGTGTTTAGAAGTACTATTCGAAGATATTCAGGGCTTCTGAGTAAAAAATTACCATTCAAAATGTGTCATAATTAGTAAATGGCACCAAGAAACAAGTGTGTAGCTGGTTGTGAACTAAAGAGCTGGCGTTGGACCACTTTTCAGGATGAATGTTTGTTACCCTGTGTAGAATGTTATGCAAATACATTGTTGTGTGGAAGGAAATTGATCTGGGATTTATGAACTATTAATCACTATTTGCTCAAAGAATGTGGAGCCCGAGCGCGTCATAAAAGAAGCGGCCCTAAGCTATTTCAGAATGACAGACCTCATCATCCACGTTAGGCCAACTGAACCTATTGAACATTAATTCATCAACACTTTGTGCTCCTTACCTTGAAGGAGCTCCAGCTATCATACCAGATTACAGCGATACAAATACCCTCATCGCCTATCCTTGAAGAGCTACCGATATACTTAAGCGCCTGTCGCGCAAGCGCAATCCAATAAATGGCGGCTCCACTTCCCATCAAGTTTACAGAGTTACTTCTGGTAATTTATCAATATTATATTCATGTGGAAGCTAAATAACCTTTAATAGTTAACAAATCCTAGTGTGGGAGTGCAGGTATGTGATAATAGCCCTGGAAACCCACGGCGCCTAGAGCTGCCCAGCTCAACAAATCAGTTAACATCCTTTGCAGCAAGCTTCTATAGGTTTCAATTCATGCGTAAGTTCCTACATTTACTAAGATTTACCACTTCATATCGCTAATAATTTATAGACCCTCGAATCAGATTCATTTGTTTGTGTTCGTGACAAGAAAGATGATTCATCTTCCCCAGATGTTGTTATCATTGAACTTAAAAATAATAATAATGTCAAGCGCAGGCCTATCAAGGCTGACAGTGCTATCATGCACTGGACTAAACAAATAATTGCCCTAAAAGCACAATCTAGAACTCTCCAAATATTTGATCTTGCCGAGAAGCAAAAGATGAAGTCAACCATAATGAACGAGGATGTTGTATTTTGGAAATGGCTCAGTGAAACAACTTTAGGACTTGTGACTGAAACAGCTGTATGCCACTGGGACATATTTGACGAGAATCAGCCAGCACCAGTTGAAGTTCTCAAGCGTAGTCAAAATCTAGCAGTAGGCCATAAAAACCATAAAAAAATCTACTATAATTAACCTACTAATAGGGATGTCAAATTATAAATTATCGGGTAAGCGATGACGGAAAGTGGATGGTTGTTGTAGGCATTTCACAACAACAAGGCCGAGTTGTTGGTTCCATGCAACTCTACTCCAAAGAACGAAATATAAGCCAACCTATCGAAGGTCACGCTGCCGCTTTTGGAACCTTGAAATTAGAAGGAGCCCCGTCAGAAACAAAGGTATTTACATTTTCTGTTCGCGCAGCTACAGGTGCAAAACTTCACATAGTTGAGGTCGATCACAAAGCCGACAACCCTGCATTTCCTAAGAGAGCTGTCGATGTATACTTTCCAACTGAAGCTGTCAACGATTTTCCAGTTGCAATGCAAGTCTCGCAACGCTACAGCATCATCTACCTGGTTACAAAGTATGGTTTTATACACTTATATGACCTCGAAACAGGAACCTGTATATTCATGAATCGGATTTCCAGTGAAACTATATTCATCACCGCGCCTGATACTGAATCTTCGGGTATACTAGGTGTGAACCGTAAAGGTCAGGTGCTGTCGGTAACTATTGACGAAAATAATATCATTCCATATTTACTCGGAAACCCAGCAAACTCAAATCTTGCAGTTAAACTTGCATCGAGGGCGGGATTACCTGGAGCTGATAGTCTCTATTCTGCTCAATTTGAACAACTGATGAATTCCGGTAACTACGCAGAAGCTGCAAAAATCGCTGCAAATTCTCCCCGGGGATTCCTACGTACTACACAGACTATTGAAAAGTTCAAGGCTCTCCCACAAGCTACTGGTCAGCTATCCACTATACTGCAATACTTCGGAATGCTTCTCGACAAGGGTACTCTCAATAAGCATGAGACACTCGAGTTGGTAAAGCCCGTTCTCGCACAAAACCGAAAGCCCTTGCTTGAAAAATGGCTAAAAGAAAACAAGTTGGATTTTTCTGAAGAGCTTGGTGATTTTGTCCGCCCACATGATTTAAATCTTGCTCTAAGTATATACCTGCGCGCCAATGTGCCGGCAAAAGTTGTAGCAGCTTTTGCTGAGACCGGTCAATTTGAAAAGATCCTACCATACTCAGCTCAGGTTGGATATCAGTGTGATTACATCGTACTACTACAGAACATTGTACGAATAAATCCGGAAAAGGGTGCCGAATTTGCGACGCAGATTTTGAACAACGAGAATGGTTCTTCAGTCGATATAGAGCGCGTAGTTGATGTATTCCAATCCCAAGGAATGGTACAGCCAGCTACAGCTTTCTTACTTGATGCCTTGAAGGAGAATAAACCAGAACAAGGCCAGCTACAAACGCGCTTATTAGAAATGAACCTGATTAACGCTCCACAAGTCGCTGACGCTATCATCGGTAATAATATGTTCTCACATTTCGATAGATCGCGTATAGCAAACCTCTGTGAGCAGGCCGGATTACTTCAGCGTGCATTGGAGTTATTTGATGATCCTGAATCTATAAAACGTGTGGTCGTCAATATTGTCGCGACTCCCACATTCAGTCAGGAATGGCTCATCGGCTTTTTTGGTCGGCTATCACTCGCACAGTCGCTCGAGTGCCTTGATGTTATGCTAAAAACGAACATGCGCCAGAATCTAGCGGCCGTCGTGCAGATAGCCACCAAGTATTCAGATCTTCTCGGACCCACTAATCTGATTGACCTCTTCGAAAAATACAAAACCTCCGAAGGTCTTTTCTATTATCTAGGAAGCATTGTCAGCCTAAGCGAAGATCCTGATGTTAACTTTAAGTACATCGAGGCTGCAACGAGTATGGGTCAATTTACTGAGGTCGAACGCATCTGCCGAGACAGCAATCGTAAGTTAATCCTGCAATATCATCTTGAACTTTCCTATGTCCACGCTCCAACCCAATTTTTATTGGAAATCTCTTTCCTGATTAGCAGGCCAGTGTCTTTACTATCATGATAGGGAGGCTACTCTATTTCAAATACAAGGCCTTATATCACTAAGCGCCTATTTGATACAAAATATAGGTCAGTGCTTATATATATGCTGAGTCTAAAATATAACCAAGGTTATATAATTCTCACTTCTACCACATAGCTAGGCCTAATTTCATGATCTGACCTGTGGAGTTCGCTTCAAAATCATGAGTATTTGAATATACACAGGACTTATGTTTTACTGAATGACATAATTCATTCAACTTTCTAACTTGTTGACATAGATTACAATCCCGAGAAAGTAAAAAACTTTCTAAAAGAGGCCAAGTTGACGGAACAACTACCACTTATAATTGTCTGTGACCGCTTTAACTTCATTCACGATCTTGTCCTTTACCTCTATCAGCAACAACAATTCAAGTCGATTGAAGTCTACGTCCAGCGCGTAAATCCAGCTCGAACACCTGCAGTTGTTAGTGGCTTACTAGATGTTGATTGCGAAGAATCAATCATCAAGAACCTCCTACAGACAGTAAATCCTGCATCAGTACCGATTGATGAATTAGTAGCAGAAGTGGAATCTCGAAATCGTCTCAAACTTCTGCTTCCATTTTTAGAGGCCACTCTAGCTGCAGGAAATCAGCAAAGAGCTGTTTACAATGCTCTAGCTAAAATTTACATTGATAGCAATAATAATCCTGAGAAATTTCTCAAGGAGAACGATCAGTATGATCCTTTAATTGTCGGGAAATACTGCGAGAAACGTGATCCAAATCTTGCGTACATTGCCTATCGCAAAGGACAGAATGATCTCGAGCTCGTCAATATCACGAACGAAAACTCAATGTTTAAAGCTCAAGCTCGATACCTCCTTGAAAGGGCCGATCGCGAACTCTGGGGATTTGTTCTTAGTGCAAACAATATTCACCGTCGTTCTGTTATTGATCAAGTCATTTCTACTGCTGTTCCTGGATCTACTGAGCCTGATAAAGTCTCTGTCGCTGTGGCTTCATTCCTCGCATCTGATCTACCTACAGAATTGATCGAGCTTCTCGAAAAGATAGTGCTAGAGCCATCGCCTTTCAGTGATAATGAGAATTTGCAAAACTTACTCATACTTACTGCCACTAAATCCGACAAAAGTAGAGTGATGGATTATGTTAATAGGCTTGAAGCATATAATGCACCTGATATCGCCAACATTTGCATAGAAGTCGGTCTTTTTGAGGAAGCATTCGAAGTTTACAAGAAGATCAACGACCACAAGAGTGCTGCCAATGTACTGGTTGAAAATATCGTCAGCATTGATCGTGCCCAGGAATATGCAGAGCGTGTAGAACTACCTGAGGTCTGGAGCCGTATCGCCAAGGCACAATTAGATGGCCTCCGGATCAGTGATAGTATCTCCTCGTACATTCGAGCTGCGGATCCTAGCAACTACTCTGAAGTTATTGAGATTTCTACCCATGCTGGTAAGGACGAAGACTTGATCAAGTTTCTACGGATGGCCCGAAAAACTCTCAGAGAACCGCGCATCGATACTGCTCTCGCATTTTCATATGCTCGCACTAATCAACTGAGTGAGCTCGAGGACTTTCTCCGTGGGACTAATGTCGCAGATATCGAAGAGTCAGGTGACAAAGCCTTTGCTGAGAGCCTTCACCAGGCAGCCAAGATATTTTTCACAAGTATTTCGAATTGGGCTAAGCTTTCTACCACGCTCGTATATCTCGAGGAATATCAATCTGCCGTTGAGTGTGCTCGCAAAGCCAATAATATAAAAGTCTGGAAACAAGTTAATACCGCTTGTATTGAAAAAACCGAATTCAGGCTCGCACAAATTTGTGGTCTAAACCTAATTATCGACGCAGAAGAGCTACAGGATCTAGTCAAACAATACGAACGAAACGGCTATTTTGATGAACTCATAAGTCTCCTTGAGCAAGGATTAGCGCTCGAAAGAGCTCACATGGGAATGTTTACCGAGTTAGGCATTTCACTGTCAAAATATCACCCTGATCGAGTGATGGAACATCTTAAACTATTTTGGAGTCGGATTAACATTCCAAAGATGATTCGCGCCTGTGAGGAAGCAAATCTTTGGCCAGAGTTGGTTTTTCTATACTGCCACTACGATGAGTGGGACAATGCAGCTCTAGCAATGATGGAGCGTGCTTCAGATGCTTGGGAACACCACTCTTTCAAAGACATCATTGTGAAGGTTGCCAACCTCGAGATCTACTATCGTGCCCTAAATTTCTATCTTGAACAGCAGCCTTCTCTTCTTACTGATCTACTTCAAATTTTGACTCCGAGAATCGATGTAAACCGCGTGGTCAAAATGTTTGAGAAATCTGACAATATCCCTCTCATTAAACCGTTCTTGTTTAGTGTTCAAGGACAAAATAAGAAGAGTGTTAATAATGCTATTAATGAACTTTTAATGGAAGAAGAGGACTACAAAACTCTACGGGACTCTGTCGAGAATTACGATAACTATGATCCCGCTGAGCTCGCTCAGCGGCTTGAGCGGCATGATTTGGTGTTCTTTCGTCAAATATCAGCAAGCATTTACCGTAAAAACAAGCGATGGGAAAAATCCATATCTCTATCGAAGCAGGACAAATTATTCAAAGATGCCATAGAGACAGCAGCAATGTCTGGTAAGGCTGATGTTGTCGAAGAATTGCTTCGATACGTAAGTTTTCAAACTGCTCGTTATCATTGAAATCTTGCTAACTTTCCTAATAGTTTGTAGATATCGGCAGTCGTGAGTGCTATGTAGGTATGCTTTACGCATGTTATGATCTTATTCCCATCCATCTCGTCATGGAGATATCATGGCGTCACGGCCTCACTGATTTTACGATGCCATTCATGATTAACTATCTCGCTCAACAAAATTCTACTATCGAGATGCTAGAAAAAGATAACGCTGAGCGTAAATCTCGAGAAAGTTCACAAGAAAAACAAGAAAACAGCACGCCGATCCTCGGCGGTAATAGATTAATGATCACAGCCGGATCAGTTGCTAGTCATACGCCTCCTGCTACTTTTCCTCAAACTAATGGTTTTACGTCCCAGGTAACAGGATACGGAGGGTACTAAAAGCTAGTAAATGCAGTTTGTTCTAATGTACATAATAACGAAATATCCAGGTTGTAGCTCTCTGAAATTTGCAGCGTTTATTATGCCATGGAGCACAGTCATTTCATAATCCTTAGCTTTTTCTTATTCGGAGCACATGTGTAAAATTGTTAACAAACGCTAGAATGGCTGGTACCCTATTTCGGACTCTATCCTGTGACCAAGCCATATCCCTGCTAGTTGTAAATCCCTGTGACGTTAATAGCATCCCCCTTCCCCGTGACTCATCTCAATGTCTTGGGCAGGACAGGTTGCCCATTAGATCCATCGCTAGATAAATGAAGCAAAGTAAACGTGGCTGTTGATTACCTTGGAGCGATAAAGATCTTGGTATAATTAACACGCTCAGGTCTAAATCCACTTTTCCAGCTAGGTGTCCATCCCTCATCAATTCGTAATTATGGTAATGCGCCGGTACTTGCAACTGGATCGCCTGCTATGTAGGTCAACGACCATTCCCCCCCCGGAGGCCCGGGCTACGCTGGGATCTATGGCACGCGCAGTTACACATGCACTTCGGCTAATAAATAGTTTAGAGTGCAGCTCCGAGCTTTCGTCAGTCGATTGTACGTCCCCGCATTTGAAATAAGGTTGAAGGAAACAATGCTTGAGCTTAAGGAGTGCATGGGTCTACCACTTAATTAAGTCATGGACAACCATATCTACTCCTTGGCTAACTCTAGATATTACGTCTACGGGGAATAATTTATCTAACTGGATATGGAGCTTTGTAGATAGAATGACGAAGTGGTTGAACTCGGCGATGAGTCAGTTATCAGAGCACTTTCAGGCTGACTCTTCGGACCTGGGGGTTAGCAGAGTAGATCTACCCTAGCTCTCGCTCGGGGGGAACTTGATAAGCCTAAGGCAAGACCATGCCCCTCCACCCCTCTTCGAATACAAAGCTCACACCCATTCTGCTATGAACAGGTGTCTTTGCTAGTTTTCCATATCCCTTATATCTTCAGAATACTTCATTTAACCGTCGCAGAAATATTTACATTGTCTTGCGTGATTGCCATTAAAGAAAGGCTTACGTGCACTCCGAGCAATTCAGCTCTATACAACAGCTTGCACCAAATATCTAACAATTGATTCGTCAAGGCTGAACATTTGTACTTCCAGCTTAAAATGGCAGCTGATCATGGACCAAATGGAGCGTACTCTGAGGTTTTCGATGAGGGCATGGACATATCCCAGCCGCAGACCATTCACCGCATTAGAGCCAACTCATCTATAATGCAGTTGAAAAAGATTCTAGTCGCCAACAGAGGTGAAATACGTAAGTGAAGAAATTCTAATGAGCGTTCTCTGTACTAACATATTAAAGCTATTCGGGTATGTAGTCACGGGGAGTAGGACTAAATCAATTTGCTGCATCTCTGCTAACTGGGCGTGACATCACAATAGATCTTTCGCACTGTAAGATTCATGAGCTTAAGAATTGCATCAAGTTAATATCCGCGCAGGCACATGAACTTTCTTTACAGACTGTAGCTGTCTACAGGTAATGTGGGCTGATAGACACTGACATGCTGAGCTCATGATGTAAATAGCTACGAAGACAGATTGAGTATGCATCGTCAAAGTTAGTCCTCCTCCCAAGTCTACACGTCAGAGCTTGACCTAGAATCTAACGATCATTTCTAAATTAGAGGCCGACGAAGCCTACGTTATCGGTACCCATGGACAGTACTCACCAGTCGGCGCATACTTAGCTGGTGACGAAATCATCAAGATAGCGGTCCAACATGGTGTTCAGATGATTCATCCTGGTAACTTCCGTTTATCCAATTAACGAATGTTATAATTAACTGTCTGTAGGATATGGATTTCTCTCAGAAAATGCCGAGTTTGCTCGAAATGTAGAAAAAGCTGGTTTGATTGTATATCTCTCCATCTTTATGAGAAATAATGTACTAAATATCGTCTCCAGTTTGTTGGCCCCTCACCTAGTGTGATTGACTCTCTAGGTGATAAAGTTTCCGCGAGAACATTGGCCATCAAAGCTGGGGTACCGGTTGTTCCAGGAACAGATGGAGCAGTGGAAAGGTTTGAAGAAGTCAAAAAATTCACAGACGAATACGGCTTTCCTATTATTATCAAAGCTGCCTATGGCGGTGGTGGTCGTGGAATGCGTGTCGTGCGAGAACAGGAATCACTAAAAGATTCGTTTGAAAGAGCTACTTCAGAAGCAAAATCAGCATTTGGTAATGGAACTGTCTTTGTAGAGCGATTCCTTGACAAGCCAAAGCATATCGAGGTCCAACTACTAGGGGATAATCATGGCAACATTGTTCATCTTTATGAACGTGACTGCTCGGTACAGCGAAGACATCAAAAAGTCGTCGAACTAGCTCCTGCTAAAGATCTCCCTCAAGATGTTAGAGATCATCTTCTCAGTGACGCTGTTAAGTTAGCTAAATCAGTCAACTACCGTAATGCGGGGACAGCCGAATTCCTAGTTGACCAACAAAATCGTTATTATTTTATTGAAATAAATCCCCGTATACAAGTTGAGCACACTATCACAGAGGAGATCACTGGAATCGATATCATTGCTGCACAGATTCAAATTGCCGCAGGTGCTACCTTGGCTCAGCTAGGTCTTACTCAGGATCGGATTTCAACAAGAGGATTCGCCATTCAGTGTAGAATCACAACTGAAGATCCCTCAACGGGATTTTCTCCGGATACTGGGAAGATCGAAGTTTACAGGTCTGCAGGAGGAAATGGCGTACGACTCGATGGAGGAAATGGGTTCGCTGGTGCTATTATCAGTCCCCACTATGATTCTATGTTGGTAAAATGCACCTGTCTTGGCTCCACTTATGAAATTGTGCGTCGAAAAATGCTCCGAGCTTTAGTTGAGTTTCGAATACGTGGTGTGAAAACCAATATTCCATTTCTAGCATCACTCTTGACTCATCCAACATTTATCTCTGGTGAATGCTGGACTACTTTCATCGATGATACTCCAGCTCTTTTCGACTTGGTGGGTGGACAGAATCGTGGACAGAAACTTTTAGCATACTTAGGCGACGTCGCTGTAAATGGTAGCAGCATCAAAGGACAAATCGGGGAACCAAAATTAAAAACCGATGTGATAATTCCCAAGTTGTACGACGATAATGGTCAACTTATAGACACTTCGATTCCTTGTAAGAAGGGCTGGAGAAGTATTATCACTGAAAAGGGCCCTGCAGCATTCGCGAAAGCTGTAAGGTCTAACAAGGGTTGTCTTCTGATGGACACGACCTGGCGAGATGCACATCAGTCCCTACTTGCCACCCGCGTCCGCACAATTGACCTATTAAACATCGGAAAAGAGACCAGTCACGCTTACAGTAATCTTTATTCTCTCGAATGCTGGGGCGGAGCCACATTTGATGTTGCTATGCGCTTTCTATACGAGGATCCTTGGGACCGACTTAGGAAGATGCGAAAGGTAGTTCCAAATATCCCATTTCAGATGTTGCTCAGGGGTGCCAACGGAGTTGCGTATTCTTCTCTACCAGACAATGCAATCTATCACTTTTGCGAGCAAGCAAAGAAACATGGCGTCGATATATTTCGTGTTTTTGACGCGCTAAACGATATTGATCAACTTGAAGTCGGAATAAAAGCCGTCCAAAGGGCCGGGGGCGTTGTTGAGGGAACCATTTGTTACAGCGGTGACTTCTTGAACCCAAAGAAAAAGTACAACCTTCCGTATTACCTGGCCCTAGTAGACAAACTAGTGGCTTTGAACATTCATATTCTCGGTATCAAAGATATGGCAGGCGTTCTTAAGCCCAAGGCAGCAACTCTTTTGATTGGATCTATTCGTGAGAAATATCCTGACCTTCCAATACACGTACACACGCACGATTCAGCAGGTACAGGAGTCGCATCGATGATCGCTTGTGCCGACGCAGGTGCTGATGTTGTTGATACTGCTACTGATAGCTTGTCTGGAATGACCTCTCAACCGAGCGTTGGTGCAGTCTTAGCTTCCCTTGAAGGAAGCGAGCAGGATGCTGGTCTCAATGTGCGTCATGTCAGAGCTATTGACAGCTATTGGGCCCAACTCAGACTTCTATATTCACCATTCGAAGCTGGTCTTACTGGGCCGGATCCAGAAGTATACGAACACGAAATACCTGGTGGCCAACTCACAAACATGATGTTCCAAGCGTCGCAGCTTGGCCTAGGCGCACAATGGGCTGAAACAAAGAAGGCATACGAACATGCGAATTATTTACTCGGAGATATAGTCAAAGTTACCCCAACCTCAAAAGTTGTTGGTGACCTAGCTCAGTTCATGGTTTCTAATAAACTTAGCTACGATGACGTTCAAGAAAAGGCAGGCGAGCTCGACTTCCCAGGATCAGTACTTGAATTCCTTGAGGGTTTGATGGGGCAGCCATATGGTGGATTTCCTGAGCCACTTCGGACAAAAGCTCTCAGGGGCAGGCGTATGCTTGATAAGCGACCTGGATTGAGTTTGGAGCCGCTTGATCTTGGAAAGATTAAGCAAGAAATCTATAACAAGTATGGAAGCGTGACCGAATGCGACGTGGCAAGCTATGCTATGTATCCTAAGGTCTTTGAAGAGTATCGTAACTTTGTTGGAAAGTACGGTGACTTGAGTGTAGTCCCAACCAGGTATTTCTTGTCGAAACCTGAAATTGGAGAAGAGTTTCACGTCGAGTTAGAGAAGGGAAAAGTCTTGATTCTCAAGCTTCTCGCTGTAGGACCACTCTCTGATACTACTGGACAGAGAGAAGTCTTCTATGAGATGAACGGAGAGGTTCGAGTCGTGACTGTCGATGATAATAATGCTGCCGTAGAGAACACAAGTAGGGCTAAGGCTGATCCAGGAGACAGCAGTCAAGTTGGTGCGCCAATGTCTGGCGTTGTGATCGAGATCCGTGTCAAGGATGGTGGTGAGGTAAAGAAAGGAGATCCAATCGCTGTCCTCAGCGCTATGAAGATGGTATGTGTTTTCTTTCCTGTCGCTAAAACTGAGAATCTAAATTTTTTTAGGAAATGGTTATTTCAGCACCACACGCTGGTAAAGTATCGAGTATCCAGGTAAAAGAGGGTGATTCAGTTGGTGGAGCTGATCTTATTTGCAAGATTATGAAACCGCATGAGTAGAAGGCAATAGCGCTCGATGATGGCGTTATGCAGATTTGGAGTATGGGAGGAATCATTAAAGTTTTTGCTGATTATATGTTGCACCTGTAGAAGTTATGTTAATTTTAGTCATGTAGACCTGCATGAAGTACGGTTAGTGAAAGATAGTGACTCTACGTGTATTTTTATCCAAGATACTAAATTTCCTCGCATAGCTATGGAGTCCGACCTCATGAGTGATGTTAAAGTGACAGTGAAAAGAGCAAGCTGAAATCACATTTTTGGAAATGTAGAAAATTTCATGTCGCAATTTTAGCTACGGCTAGGTGCAAAACGCCATCAATCTGGTAGAAATTCAGTGTGAAATAGGTTAACTTTATAAAATGGTCCAACCGTCAACCCGCGGGGTTCCATTCCGGCACAAAATTGAAACAAAAAGATTGGCACAATGAAGATAGATATTTATTGGGGACGGGCACAGGTCTAGCACTCATAGAGCTTCATACGACGAAGGCCAGTCCTTCCCCGACGATTTTACACAAAAATATCCCGGTGTGGCATTCGGCCCACTCATATAGTGGGTATATTCGCTGATACTACCCAAGACCTTTGTGTTGGGGCTGCCTGTTATGCTCAGCTCTATAGTATGGTAGATCTAGTGGCTGGTGCATAGGTAGTTATTATGGCGCAAGAAGGAGATCCAGTCTCTACATAACGACATTACAAGTAGTAATGTGTGCAGTACGAGAGATGGGATGTTGATATAGGACAAACGGCATAGTTGCTCAGTTTAAAACACACTTTCGCACACTACATGCTAGTTACATAATCGGTTCATAAGCGAACTAGCTAGGGGATAGGATACGAACTTCCCCTAACAAGTAACATGTCATCTATCATAGTAACCTCACTTCTACAGATCAATCAAGATATGTCTCTATGAACTATCTTGGCTGTTCCAGTACAAGTGTAAATCCCCATATCATATACCAATTATAAGATTGTAACCCTTCCCTCAACCGCTAATATACACCAAATGGAAGACAGGAAAACCCTATGGCTATGTCGGTAGATTAGGCGATGTGGTGTAGCAAGATTGAGGTAGAGGACTCGCGTGAGAATGATAGGCCCAATATTTGCCGATCAGTCGTCGATTATAGATATGCTTGTTGTTGTTCACGACTTTGATTCGGAAGCGATTCTTCCTGGCTATCCTAGATATGCAGAGCATACTGAGCGACTACACCGACACCAGTGGAAGGTGAAGAATTCATCTTTGCCGGCGACACATGAAAGATCCGCAACACAAGCGCACCTCAGTCTCATTGGGTATTATGGAGCGAGAATGACCAAACCTCTGGCTCTTTGACTCTCTGCGACGAACCTTTTCAGAAAACCTAGATCTGACTATTTTCTACATCTACACTGCCACCTACAGATGCACGGCCTTACGAGAAAAGCCTGCATGAGTATAGAATGTGACTACATGAAGGCAGATTGAGATGACCTGCAGAAGGGATCATACACTAGCGTCGTAGTCTAGATCTCCGATGGCATGAACGAGCAAATGTTACAACCGGATGAGGTGAGGTAAGGAAGATGCTGGTTCTTAAAATGCTCAGAGATTTGAGCATAGGCGGCTGAGGCTAAAGAAGAGTTTGTGCGCTATTGTGTTTACATCGGGTTCTGTGCTATTAAATTGATATAATTTAATGCTCGATGAAGTCTAAAGAGGTCTGGACTTTGAGGTGTACCAATTTGGTTGTACTGTTGTTGAAAGTTACCCTGATCCGGCCTAAATACACTTATCAAGATTACCCAGAGTGTAGAAAGTGTCAATGGTCTCGCACGTGTGACTGCAAAACTACCAAAATATAGTGCCGGACAACTTAATTGATGATCAGGATATTCAGCAGATATAGTAGATGGATTAACGTGCCGGATATTAGACAGGGAAGGTAGCAGGACGATAAAACTCAGATGGGCAGGATCATCTGGCAAGTAATTGTGGCAGTTGAATGACGCTCAATTTTAGTATAACAGGCATCTGATATCGATCTCCTCTTGCCTCGAGCTACGTTGCCGGTCATTTCATTTAATGAGACCTCTGATCCCCCAAAACCTCCATTCTCAGGTACCACCAGTTTTCTTCTACTTTTCTTGGGTCTTCAAATATTTATCTTACATCATAGTCTCCCATTTACTAGCCATGGCTTCCACCATTTCGACGACAGTGGCTACTAAGATCGAGAGCAACAATGAAAGTGTAACTTCAATAATGAATGTGACACAGCAACAAAGTCGACGGGTATGTCTTAATTTCTCTCGTGGGTCTTGATACACATTAGCCTAGACTGTAGCTACATCTAGCTCCTGCTCTATACTAAGCACGTGCGGGTATAGGGTTCATCGGGTCTTTTCTCGAGCCTCATGGATCAGAAACGGAACAACTCAGATGCAGCCGCTCAAGCACGACGGGCTAGTTTCCATAACATGAAGCCAACTCCAGGGTTTTTTGGCAAGATATGGCACAAGTAAATTATCCAATTAGCTACTTGTGGACTCGTCACTGAATAAATATCTCTAGCTTTACCCTTGGCCCAACTCCATCAAAATGAGGATATATCTTGATATTAACGTTTCTAGCATGGCTATGGTTGATTTATGTGATGTAGGGATTGTGAGCCAAGAAGATATTCGGGACTCATCGATGCGCTCTTCTATCTTTCGGTTAATCTTGCATGGACGATGGAGTTGTTATTTGTGAGCGGGCCATAGAGAACAAGAGCCAGAATGATTGATTTCAAAAATCCTAGAACTTAGCGCACTTGAAGCGTGACTGGTGACTCGGAAACAATCAATCACAGGTAAGACCGTTATTGATAACAGCAATATCCATATTCCTAAGAATAGGTTTGAAGATGAAAGAATAAAATTTCATGCTGATATCAAGCACTGCGTCCGTGACCCCCGCATGATGTTCCAAGCCAAAACATGATGACCATGAGCGATCTAATCTCGTCAGCTTTGGTTGAGAAAAACGCGGCAGTGCATCAGCTGTCGAGAGAGCCTGCTACATGCGTAATTTCTGCATTGTCAGCATACTCAGTGACATAGAGCTTGATTATCAGAGCTATGTTTCATTACTGATCCTCTGCGGCTCAAAATCCAACGAGAAAAGCGATAGGAATAGAACTTAATGTCCCTACTGAGTCAATGTCAATGAAGGACAATGACGAACGGAACAAGAGAATGAATTGGTTTATTATTCAGATATCAGTGCGTGGATGGTCACTGGCTTGATAGTGAAGATGATTAAGATGATCAAGACGCTTTCCAAGTTTATATCAAGCGGCAAGGCATTCCGGGAGCAGCTTACGCCAATTTGTTTGAAGATCAGAACCTTCTGTGCTTTTAGCAGTCAATGGTTGCCTCTCCCTCGTTCCGACTCTCATTTTTGGGTACTCCTTGGCCTGTATTTGCTGCTCATCATAGGGGTGGCGAACATGATAGGACCATCTTACACCCTTGAGTGGAGATATTACCAAAGTAGGTGATAACTGGGCACCTTACAAAACAGCACTGCTATATATTATGCTGCTCGGAATGGCATCAATGCGAGCCGAGTAAAGTGGAATAGGGGTAGAAACCAAATACCAAGTGTAGAAGTAAAACTGAAATATATATTCTATCGTCCTATAGTAAATAGGTTGTAATAGTAGATATTAATACGAATCATGCTCCTCATATTCTAGTGTCAATGCCTCATTCGTCTGCTAGATATTATTTATCTTCTCTCCTTAGAATCTCGTAATTTTTTTGAGTCTTATAATGCAGCTCACAAATGATTGCCAAGTATTCCTTGATAGGCTTTCTAGATTGTAAAGTAGCAGTTGACTTGTCGATGGGATAAGCTGTTCTAACTCGATCGATGTGACCCAACAAATTCTTGTATTATGGTGCAATGTTGGAGTTGTGTCTTTCTGTCTTTGCCATGCGAGCGCCGCTCCTAATCATACAGGAGAATCTACCTCTAACCCTTACTGTATGAGCTCTATTGGACGGTTCAGAATGTCTCAGAATCAAGCCTCTTTCGCCAAGAAAGGCGCGTGGATAAGTAGAGTACCAGTTGATTCATGAGTCCTGACCATTGTTGCGTCCGATGTCTCTTCCCGGTATGCAATATCCAGCCTCTTTTGCACCCCGCGTTTTCTCTTCGTATGGTAGAGATGAACACACCTAGTGTTTGGACGGACCTAAGCCTCGTATCACGAGCGGCGGCGTTGTCTTTGGGAGGGAGGGGGAAGGTATCGACTCTGGGCGTTTCATTTTCCGCGAGCATCTCCGTTTCGGAAGTTCTCCTATTGCTATCGTAGTTTTCTGACGATTAACAAGAGAGAGTTAGGCTACTTGCAGGTGCCTATCTCGCCACTAGTTACGAAGGCCTCTGATTAAGCCAGCTGACCCTTTGCACGGTATATTCTCGGCGATCTGAGGCCGAGCACCCAACAATGATGTCCTCTGCAGAGCCTGAGGTTAGATCTTATCTTGGAGCCTAGATCAATTCACTCCTTCGGGTGAGTTCTCGTGGCTCAGTCAAGTTGGCAGCCACTTGGAATTTTGGCAAGTTTTTGTCCCAAAACCCGACCTGCGGAGATAACGCGACTACACAACGCAACGGAATCAAACATCTACAGCCCAAGAACGGTAGACAGGCTCGAATCTATCTAATGTTTGTCTACAACTGACTGAAATTCCTCGCCATCTTGAATTTTCCCGACAAGCCTTCTCTCGATTGAGTCTTTAAAATACGAGGTAAACACAAAACTGTAGCGCCTAGCTGGCCGGCCTTTTCGAACGCTTCAGAAGGGTCACTATGTCTTCGGATTTAGTTCCAATGTCGATATTAGAAGAGCTCCGCACCCAGTGTTTTTTTGCGATACTTTCTGGCTGCCATACACCCGCAAATGGCCATCGTTTCGTTGGCTGGAGAGGGGAGATAATGAAGGGCTAAGGGCACCTCCTAGTGTATGATCGAATGAGGACTTGTGAGGGGTGGTACTGTTTGAGGGGAGCTGTATGGGAGACATAGGACGGGATATACTACTGGCATAGGTATCGTTGGCCTGAAGGCAAAGAGGACCTGCAGTCCTACATAGTCATAGACTCAGACAGTGCAAAAATTGAAGATAATTCTTTTCAATACTTAGCGAAGCGTTCCAAAATCCAGAAGCTTGAATCTAAACCATAGATACCAGGGTATATCCGACCTTCCTCAATCTCTTCGTGCCATGAATGTATTATGATTGGTATATGATTTGGGAATGTACACTTGCACTAGAACAGCTAAAACAGTATGTGGAGAGATGTCTTCATTAATATGCAGAAGTGAAGTTATTATGATAATTGTTATGTTACAGATTGGGGGAAGCTCGTCCCTTATCTCCTAGCTTATTCGCTTGTAGACCGATCACGTTACCAGTATGCTGCTCACCAAAGTATGCAACCAACTGAGCAGCCATGCCCCTTTGTCCTATATCAACAACCCATCTCTCGTACTGCACATATTACTACATGTAATGTCGTTATCTAGAGACTGAATCTCCTCCATGCACCATAATGCCATGCTGCCATAATAATTACTTATGCACCAGCTACTAGATCTGCCATACTACATAGCTGAGCATAACAGAATGACGGTCGAAGTAACAGTTCTCTGGCGCATGCTTAGCCTCCGATTTGTAGTACGGCGACAAAGCTGGAGGAATGGTCAGTTCTCAAAAATGCCAGAGATATTGATGTTGATATAAGGATGCAGGACATGCCTTGATGGAGGAATCAAAGAGGAACAGGACCAATTAGGCCTCCAATGAATAAAACGCACACAGATGAAAAAGGGCGTGAGTTGGACTGAAATTCAAGGAAAAATTGCAGATGGGAAAGTGTCAGGGTGGGATAAGGTCCATGTCCCTAATGGTAATTGACCTAATCCAGCCCGGCCTCATTAATGTGCAATCCCCACCATGAGTGCGGAGAGTGCTAAATGCCTAGCAGGTCAATATACAAATAGCGTCGACACATTACTCGGGCTCCCACTCTAAGCGATGAGGGCACGCCAGGATAATCCCCGGTATCGAATCATGATATGGGAGGACTGCGGACGGAGCTATGTTTAGAGACCGATCTCAGGGTAGCACCTGCGAACGAAAGCTAGAATATCCGCGTAAGAGTTCTCTCTTCACGCAACGTCTTCTTACACTTGAAACAGATTATGCACACATGTTACACCTCTTTTCCCCAAATAGCCTATTTCTTCTTGTGCCTTCTTCATGGCTTCTTTTCGGCGGTAATAACCGCACGGGTCTTTGTTCGAGTTATTATTCAAGGGGTTCCTTGTTACATCATTATTTCCTCTTCCGAGCTAACAAAGCGAGGGCCGATTAAGAATATCTGACTTTGGGATAATTCACAAAAACAATGAATATGTGTCTCTCCTGTCACCAACACCAGACAAGATCCGAAGATATAGCTATCCTTTCAAAGAGTTCGAAGAGACCGGCCAGCTGGATACGTCAGGCCTGTAACTACCTAAGTGCGTCTCTTAACCTTCCTAGCTTCCTTCTTCCCCCATTAGTGCCGTAGTATAAAGGAAAGGTAGTAAAAGCATGTCGGAAAAGTCTTGGACGAGATTTTATCGACTGACTCGTTCACTTTAGATGTGCTCCCAGCTGGTAAAGTAGGAAGTAGAGGCAAAAATATGGTATTAGCGGCAATCCTAACCACCTTTTTTTGAGGGCAGATGGTTGTAAATACTTTCGTGGGCTCTTGTCAGCCAGCCGATGAGCAGTATACGTTAGATACGACAAGAGATTCTCTACTCACTCTCATAGTTTTTGGTACTGCAAGACCAATGCTCTTTCCTATCGTCCTAGGAGCTGCCGTGTGTATTTTTGACGGAGGGGAAGGTAATCCGGCTCAAATTTGAGATGACGTTACTTCATCTCGGCTCTACGGACTCGACTGTGAGAGCTGGAAATTCGTATAGAACACCGCTGATTAGTGTTGTCTTTCAGTCCCCTCGCGTTTCGGCTAGCCCAGTTTTAAAACTCCACAACGTGTCGGCACCTAGATAGACCCAAATCAAGGACCGATAGCCAAGACCTCATAATCCCGCGCTTGGACACTGAACGGTACGTGAGCGCCAGTCTCTCAACAGACTCTATAATTTCCAGGGTTTATTAAATTAAGGATATTGAGTGTATCAAAGACGTTCTAGCTTCCAAGCTACAAACTGCGCAGGTGTAGTAACCACGCGCCCAGCCAAATTAGTGCTTCAACTACAGTCAGTGGGGACATACGCAGGCGTTTTGTTGAAAGACAGTCGGATGGTTCGAGTGTGCTGGTGCTCATCAAATTTGGGACTGTCCGAGCAAAGGGCTGCTTATACGAATCAGGGCAAGGAACACCGTGAACGACACAAAGCAGTGTGTCGGACCTGCCAGGTTTACAAGGGGAGTATGAAGAAAGCTGGGGCTAAGCTGCTATCCTGAATAGCGAACATACGGATGGAAAAACCAACTTTGACATCATCATAAACAATCGGAACGACTGGTGATCAGGGGCTCACTTTGGTCACCATCTAGAGGACCTGGACGTAGACCGAAGGAAGTCATGGCCCCATCGACAGCATGCATCGCTGAGAGAGGAGGTGCCTCCTCTTAACAATCGCACCTAAGCTTGGCCTTATTGAAGGGGGAGTTGACGAAATTTGCGGAAGGTTTGTAGACAAGTGGTTGATGAAAACATCCTCGACGTTAAGCTAGGTAGTTTGAGAGTGGCAGGATATCGGGGCTTTGATTCCTATGGGTTGTTAACTTCCACTACGCGGCCATCCGTCCTCCGCGACCTATACCCTAGGAACATAATAGGACAGCAAACGCAAACTTAGATTCTCTGGCCTCTCGTTCCATGAGATCGTTCCCAGTAGCCACGTCTTTGAGTCGTGCAAAAGAATCCTGAGCCACGTAGCAAGTTATTCATCGTACAAACTCCCTCCACTGTATGGTGAGCCTCAGATGCGCTAGGGCTGAAATTCAATTTTTGACGTGCCGAGCTTCGCACGGTCCGAGATGACAATTAAAAAGTTGTATGGAGAATTTCTCCTGACACCCAAGAAGTTTAGGATGTTGTTTCGGTTATAAAACCGCTGGTAATTCCGCGTAGCCGCCATGTCCGGACCGAGAGGCAGCAACTGCTCGCACGGTCTACGAGAGGGGAACCAAGAGCCACGTGATGGATACGCCGGGGCTGTGGCATAAGCAGGCATGGCGCGAGCCATGCCATCGCTCAACTCTCCCTCACTCCCCGCCACCACCGGATCCTCCTACACTCTGCAGCATCATGGAGTATCTCGAAGCCATCGTCGATAGCACCCACTCCCCTCCCCACTCGCGCTCACAGCCCACTGGACATACGCGCTCGGCCTCTAACTACCGCACCCGTTCCCTATCGCCGTTGCGTCCGCGCCCGAGCCAGCGCAGCTTTTGGGGCCTACGCAAATCTACCGGCAATGGCGCCTCGGCCTCGTCGGTCTTTGGTAGGTCCTGCCTCTTGCGTGTAAGCTCTAGCTAACTCACCGTGCTGGTCGCCACTCTTCATCTTCCTCTTCATACTATCGTCGCTCGCCACGCCCTAATTACCTCACCCGTCTCTACAAGAAGCTGCGCCGTCTATTGCGCGATCTCATCTACTACATCCAGCGCCATCCGCTCAAGGTCTTCACTCTCGTAATCTTGCCTCTAATCACCAGTGGCGCCCTCGCTACTTTGTTAGCCAAGTTTGGCGTGCGTCTGCCCCCAAGTATCCAGCGGGCGCTGTCTCTAGCAGCCGGAAAGAGTGGTGACCCCCACCACGGTCATGGAAAATCGCGCACAAAACTCGGTTGGTATCGGAAGACGGAGATGGTTTTGGGTGGGCTTGGGGGAGTAGGTGGTATCATTGGATTGGCAAAGTTGTTCAAATAGAGGCAGTTCAAACAAGAATCGTCCGGCGTATTAGGGATTTGGCAGAAAGTGTTACCCGGCATTGGATGAAAGCGGCGTTAAATGGAATGTGAATGAGATTAGTTAAACAATGAATGTTCGGGCTCAGCCCAAGACCTGATAAGAATGCGACATTTACCAACTTAGCTCTGGCTTGATGAAATTTAGGATAAATCACTACTGTAAGATCTAACCCACTATGCTTATAATAAATCGCTACACTGTTATACTTTGCTGCCTATCTATGAAACTATCTATGAAAATCCCTTGACTGGTCTTCGCTTTCTTGTCGATCTTCGAGTGGGCGGGGTTCCCTGTGAAGTTTGGTCCATAGCAAACTCTTGTTCACTCGACTGTCCTATTTCTTCCTTTGCGTAATCGAAGTCATTGTCTAAAGATTCCTCTGTTTCACGACCCTTCACACGTTGTTTTTTTATATCTGATGTATCATTATGGTACGAAGAAGTATGGCTGCGGAGAAAAGGAGAGAATGGAATATCGGGCAGGCCCAGAGAAGTTTGCGGAGCGCTCCGATGAGTAAGATTAACAGAGGCGTTCGAAGACATCGAATGGCTGAAGGGATCGTCGCTGTGGCTTGGGTAAGTGCTAGAGATAGGAGAGCGGTCAAATTTCGACGAGTAGGATCCATTTGAGAAGGTTTGTCGAGCATCATCAGAAGTATTTCGTATGAAGCCAGCCTGGTCAGTAAACGATGAGCTGGTCTCATTAAAGCAAGGTGCAAAAGATCGGTGTGTACTTTGGAGTTGATTCAAGCTCTCCAACGGAGCGTATAATTTCCCATCCGGGCCTTTGATGATTTTGCTGGAACTGTGTGAGCTAGAAGCTGACTTCGATTCTGAGCCCCCACTAATTCTTAATTTATCTCTTCGTTGATATTCCAATGCGCTTTGCTCTGATATAATGGCTGATGAAAGTGGTACTGCAATTGTTCTACTCTGCTCATCTTCGCTTTCACTCTCTTGGTAATCCTTCGACCTTGCGGTATTTTGTAGCTGCTTCCTTCTTTTTTCTAGAGCACTTAGCTCTTCCTTGCTGAGTTTGACATCGTTCTTTCCCTTCTCCTGAGCTCGACGTATTCGGGAAAGCGCAGACTGTAAATGTGAACTTTGTCTTTCTCTCGATGTCTGTTGAGCTAGACTTATACACGAGTCTGAAGTTTCTATGGATTCGTTCGTTCCTCTTTTAATGTTCTTCCCGGATCTGTGATGTGGTAGATTATTTTCAGATAATGCAGCTCTCCCTGCGTTATGATTTCTTGCGGCCAAAATGTTCATTTCCTCCTCATCTGTATTGTCACTCTCGATCTCAAATGCCACACTTTTCTCCCGCTGCCCATGGCTTTTGATGCTCTTAACACCAGGTTGTCTTCCCCAATGGGGCATAGATTTGGGAGATCGCGGCCGACTACCTAGACCGCCTCCCCGGAAAAAGCCTCATCGATTGGCTTGTCTAAAAATGAGGCATGTCCCAGTATTGTGACGCCAGACGCACCAATAAGCCATAGTATGGTGGATATTGGAGAAGCTAAGAAGCCAAGTGGTACTGCGACGCAGATAAGGCCGGTGTAGAGCTGAGAGCTAGTAGCTTTTATTCCTCCGACATCAAGATCACGTCCATCTAATTTTCCTATGGCCCACATGCCACCAACGACCAAGAAGATGACAAACATCAATAAGAAGTTCGTAAGAAGACTGTAAACACTAAGCATCACGAATAAAACCGCATAGTTGCTTGAAAAATGCCCAAGATTATAATTTACTCTTGACTGCACTTCAGAAAAATTATTAGGCTTAGAAACTCTTTTGAAATCAAAAAAGTCAGATAAAGGCCTAAGATTGGAAAATCTTGTAGCAAGTGACTGAGATCGTACCCCAGCTAGTCTATCAGAAAGACTAAAGCGCGATGTGAAAGCGTCAATAGGTATTTGGATCCGCGACATATTGGAAGTCTTTAGCAGCTGATATTACAACTTTGGTGAATGTAACAAGCAACGATTCCAATAAGATTTTGAGAAAGTTAAAGCGTAGAATTAGATGGACTAGTCCTAGATGATGCTGAGCGATTTGATATTGATCCAGATGCAGTTTAGCTTTCTGGCGTCTGGATTATCTTGTCTTGTAGAAGTTTCTTTGCAAATATGAGTCATACGTGATATGGCGCTAGGTATTGAAGAACAAACTTACGGATAATTATGATGTAAATAAATATGATGGATAATCGTGAATGTATTCGCACAGGAGTTTATCTAAGAGAACGTTCGTTCTAAGTCGGAATGAGTGAGTTCCTAGAACATCGTTCTGTTTCTTGACATGATAAATTAAAGGTTTATTGGGCCGTTATAATGGCGGTAGGAATTCTTGTGTTGTCTATCTCATGGCGGTGAGTAGATGTTAAGCCCTTACTTATAGCTCTCGGGCTCTCATTCGTTACTTCATAAAAAGTGGGGCTTACAGTAATTCACACTGGACAGATGTCTGGATCGAGTAATAAAAGGCAAACCCCGAACAAACATTAATTATGATAAATCTTTTCGCTCAACAATAAAATGAAGATACTATGCTTCATATTGTGTTATTTCACAAGTTTCATTTCTATTAATGCATCATGGAGTAAAGAAGGTACGTCAGTCTTCAAGCTACATCTGTCGTTCATTAACTTCTGACCTTCCTTCCAGACCAAGAAGTATTTCGCCTGCGCGATGAAGTTGAAGCTTCTGAAGGTGCTGGTGTCACTTTCTATGATTTCTTAGGTACCAAACCTTTGGCAAATCAGGATGAAGTTAGTAATTGTAGAAAAAAATTTATTCTAATCAAAGCCCACTAACAACTAGACAGATAAATAAAGCTTACCGACAGAGATCAAGAGTCTTACACCCGGACAAAGTAAAGCAGCAGTTTATAACAAATCAGTCTTCCAACAAGAAACCTACCAAAGCCGAGATAAAAGCCGCAGCTAAAACTGCCAGCGATCGCTTCGCGCGTTTGGGAATCGTTGCCAACATCTTACGTGGACCTGGAAGAGAACGTTATGATCATTTTCTGAATTACGGCTTCCCAAAGTGGAAGGGAACAGGCTATTATTATGCAAGATTTCGCCCAGGTCTAGGCTCTGTTCTAATAGGCCTATTCATATTTGTTGGAGGTGCTGGGCATTGGATCGTACTATACTTAAGTTGGAAAAGGAGGAAAGAATTCATTAATCGCTACGTGACCTATGCAAGGCACGCCGTGTTTTCAGAGACTATACCTGGATTAGATAAATTACCAGGAACGACACAAGCTGTTCCGGAAAGCGCAGAAGTGCAACTTGTTAACCGTAGACAAAGGCGAATGCAGGAGAAAGATGGTAAAAAGGAAAAGAAACCGAAGAGCAGCAGAGTTCACAAGCCTGTTGTAACTGCATTGGCTGATCCATGTGGACCAAAAAAGCGTGTAGTCGCCGAAAACGGCAAGATTCTCGTGGTTGATTCGTCAGGTAATGTTTACCTTGAACAAACTGATGAGGAAGGTGAAAATGAAGAAATACTTCTTGATGTAAGTCATGATCTTTAAAGTTCTGTTCTTCTTCTGCCTACCTTTTTAATACAAGACTCTAACTTCAGCTATTAACCATAGCCGAACGAACTGATACGCCCAACTTTTCTCGACACAGCACTCTGTCGTCTTCCTATCTGGGCCTATTCTAGCATTTCCAATAGATTTATGCAACTGGCTCCAGATAAAGAAGTACATGATGTCAAATTTAGCGTTGATTCACCAGCAGTTACTAGCAGTGATAATGACTGTGACGCACTCGAGATTGTCAACCCAATGCCAAATGGTACTACAACAAAGACTATGCGGAGGAAGAAAAGCCGTAAGGTTAGATAGTACCACGGTTAAAAACTGATTTGGTAGCGCACAGAATATCTTTGGAATAGGTTAATGTAATTAAACATTTTAATAGTACTATTTGTTCGGAATTCCAGTCATATCTCTCACTAACCCTTCTGCCTGGAATCTGCGAAAAATTAACATATATTAAAGGAATTTAAATATTTCATGTATCTACTTGTAACAAAAAGCCTTTCATCATCTTTGACTGAGATCCATAATACAAGCACGCTATATTATTGCCTAGTCAAAAGGATACATTATGAGAGCTTATTCCACCCTACAGTCAAAGATTGGATGAAATTACAAACAACTTGATTTCATACGTGTCATATTCTTAAACTAAAAGTCATATTCAAAGATTTTCTTTTCATTTATGTTAAAAGAGTTGATTTTATGAGTATTTGTCTCTACCCCAATCAGTGGGATCACCACCAGGGATGCACATGCCTAACCGCCAGAAGTAGTCACGATGGGCGAGCACAAGCTGCCAAAGCCTAAGACGGGGTGATAAAAATGGATCCCAAAAATTTTCCGGTTTAATTATGTCGTGTGAATTATATTTTAACTGGTACCTTTCACCATTCCATGTTACGTGGTTGAAATCGCTTCCGGTTATTGGAGTTTCGTCCGGATTGAATCGTAAGGCTGCCATGTCTGTGCCAGCTATACATCGGGTATCCTGATTACCAAAACAGAGACGCAAGTCGTTCTCATCTGGCTGCAAGCTTGGTTTAGAGATAAATATTTCACCAGAATGTTGTCTGTAGCCCCATTCCTCTAAAGGCAGTAGAGGCACAGGATCGTTAGCGTGTGTCACTCGTCTGAAACGACCGCTGGTGATTGGCAATGTGTTCGCTTTATTGTTTGTATTGACTGATAACTGAAACACAGTGTCAATGTACTTTGCAAATCCAGCGTTTCCAATGCGCGGTTCTCCAAACGTAGTGACGTGGGGGGATCGGCCTAGAGCATCAAGTTCAAGGGCTGCTAGGGTTGCAATTGCACCGCCTAGGGAATGGCCTACAAAGTGGAGCTGATAATTTGGATATTTCTGACACAATATTTGGATTTGAGGCAAGATGGAAGATCGAATACTCTGATAGCTGTTCCAAAACCCGGTATGAACGGTACAATTCAAGCATTTGACAGAAGTCTTTTCCCATCCCTGCTGAAAACCTTTCCATAATTGGGAAACTTTGAGAATCGGATTTAGAAGAGGGTTTTGAGTTAGAGAATGTGACTGTAAGTGGTAGATGTCCGAGTCTGGGGGTTTATAAGGTACATATTCTTTTGTACCAGTGCTCAAATCTATGATAGTATCGGAAATACTGTATGTGCCTCTAAATACGACCAGAATACGCCTGCCAGTCATGCCAGCATCATGGTCTATTGCTATGTAGCCACAACTCCCGCTCAGGAGGCTACCAGTGTGGAATGTTTTGATGAGTTCGATGTTGGAGAATTCATTACAACGTGAAGAGCAGGTGAAGGGGGGAGAGATGCCTGTTGTACCGACGCAATACGCAATGTCCCCTAGCCTGGCTAACTTCTCTAAGTCAAGGAATAGTGAGCGGTCAACATTTGCATTCGGGTGAGATCCGACGAAAGAATCTTGGCGCTTATTTGTTGAGGTCAATGAGTGTTGTGGGTAAACAATGGCAGCGGTGAAGGAGGGGTGCAGAATTGTCAGGGCATATACTAAGATCGTGATAAGATTTGGTAGTCGACACAACATTTTCGCATGCAATATGTCAAGCTCGGAATGGAGAAACCAATTGAGTAGAAAGAAATCTTAGAAATTGGCTTCAACACAAGACGCTCTGCGAGTTAAATCCCATTGGCAATTTAGGGTTTGCTAGCCATCATGTCCTCGTGGGCACAAGAGTGACTGCCTACTTCATCTCCTTCAAGGTCAAGCGTTTGACGTCACTAGACATACCTTACCATGTGACGTCTAGGCTTTACCATACTGGCTAGATTTACGCAAACTTTGCTTGGTCAGACTATAAATGCCCCTAGAGTATAGCAAAGACTGATTATCTGCTAGGGGTACCCTCTACGACCCTGTAAGTGAAATATTCTCCCAGAACCAAGATCAACCAAATTTCGCAATACCTGATTAGATGTTCAACGACGTAATGATTCATTACTTTTAACACAAGCAATATCTTGCTTCCAACGAGATCGGTCTACACGAAAACCTCGTCGAGCTTACAGTTCCTCTAGGATTCGAAACGTTAAACTTGAAACTAGGTTGTTTAAGGGATCAGCTCTATAGGCGCAGGGAGGACGAAGGCTGAACACCTATCAGTAGTGTCCCCTACAAACCTGCAAGTGAAATATTGTCCCAGAGCCGAGATTCAGTCACGAAAAAAGGTGAATTTGAGAGTTTTCGTCGAGTTGGCGATCGGTAGGAGTGGTGTTGGCTCATTTTTGGTCGAAAATCCGACTTGCAGAGATTTCACGACTGCACAACTCAACAAAATCAACCATCCACACCCCAGATACGAACCGTAGACAGGCTATAACCTGTCTGATTTTCGTATTACAAAAACCGACACCATTAAGATCTTATTTTTCTTTTTTTCTGGAAAATTATTCCCAGCCAAACTCATCTCGCTGCCCTCTCCATAATTATCTCATCACCTACCAAAGAAATCCCAAACCTCCAAAAGCCAAATCGCCATCAAAGAAGCAAGAGGATGTCCGACCCTCCGCAACTGCCAGTCACTGTGAAGGTACGGTCAAAATACCGACCTTAGATGCGTCCTCACCTCGGCCAAGGGCACCAACAACTCGACCTATCTCAAGGATGAGGGTTTGACAGTGTTCCAAAGGGTGCGTTGTAAAGCCTAGTGAAGATCTAGGTGGTGAATGAAGATAATAAATGGGTCAGAGGGATGACAGGTCTTCTCTAGGAAGAGATGAATGGGCAACTAGTTGCAGTAGATGCTACACGTGAGTCTTGCTGATGAAGAACTGGACAATGAATATGTGATCTTCCCGAAGAAGAGATGGGTAAACAAATGTATTGTAGAGGGTAAGTAATGAAGACGTTGCGTGAGGAGTAAATCTCTCTCACGCTAAACTATTATATACAAAAGTAGAAGCATTTGCCAGCCGGAATTAATCGTAATCAATTCTTGCCAATATCTTCGCATTAATGGCTGAGTTCTTGTCCTTCTCTTCGTGACTCTGTTGTATATCCTTACACGACTTTTTACATGACTAATTGTATAGGGTAAGCTATTATGTAATTGATGGTTTTCATCAATTACCCTTTCATCTTATCACGAACTAATCTTCGTATTGAAATTCTAATTACGGATCCGTGTAAACCTGCGACGAATCGCCACCGACGAAATACGTACGACATTTCGCCGGCACACCAACCAGGGCGTTCGAGAAAGGCTGGGGCACCGGTGCCTCGGTCTTGAGCTCTCAGTCAGATTTTCGACCTCCACGGTTAGGGGTACGGCAGCGATGGGGCAAGGCCGGAGGGGTAGACATTCTACAAAGTTTCTGGGATGACGAGGTCGGTTGAAGGATAGAGGTATGCAACATGAAGGAACAAAAGGGAACACAATCTGAGGAGGCCTTGGTGGGCGACTGGATGAGGCCTCCGATGAAGAAAACGACCCCTGGATGAGATGAGCCAAAGCTGGGAATGAATGGAAGGGAAAAGTCACAGATCGCGAAGGTGTCAAGGGCTCGGGCGCGTGGTGGCCGAGGCTGAGGAGGAAATTGCGCTTCGGCGCGCCAAAATGGGGTTCTCTAGGCGGTTGGGCTTGACATGATTCAACACATGGATGAAGTCTGAGGTGGTCCGGTCATTTAGGCGGGATCTTGAGGAGTGTGTATGCTATTTGTCCACAGGGTACAAGTGTGAGTAAATAGGGGTTCAAGGTCTTCCACAAGAAGAGGTAGAGAGCACGTCGTGATCTGATACGAGTGCGGGCTCGAAGTGGCCTTCACAAGGAAGAGATGGAATATCTAGATTGAGAATAATATTGAGAAGACGTTTCGTGAAGAAGGCAACTCGACTGGGGGCTATATTGTAATAACGAGGTTATGAGAAGTCTAAGAATTGTCACAATGGGTGTAACAGTCAACTTGGGTTGATGTAGGATAGCACTTTAAGTCTAACGTGAAGAAGACAGATATATATTGTAGATCTGCTATATTGATGACTATTGAATATAAGAGTGGAAAAGGTTGATCATATACAGAGGTCTAGTAGCGAGTATTTATACACAAAGACAATACATACAATATACCATCAATAGCAATAACTGTCAACCATTCAGCCATTCAACAACTATGTCATTAGATATACCTGCGTCATATTATCATATAATCATGTATGGTTGAGATACTGGTGTTGTCATTGCTGTGTGCCGATGACGTATCATTGACGCAGGGTCGCTTGTCCTGTTGGATCACTTGCCCAGTACTAGCCATTCCAAGTTGTGTGATCTATAAGTGGGTCTGATCACAACAGGCTACGCTTTAACATGTACATGCTCGCAGTTCACTGTTACGTTACCTTTCCCTACTCAGGCCTGCTAGAATTGTACGCTAATATATATATTTCATATTACCTGATTTGGCGCCTTGAGGCCAATGCAGGTTTTATCGGAAGATATGTACTTAAGTAGGATGACTCAATTTGACGATTAGAACACTCACACTCGGATTTCATTTGCAGATACCACTCGAAGTTAACCCTTACGGCGTATAATCTCTTCCGTGCATACCTTCCTCAGGGAAAAGCGTGAAAAACCTGTGGCTATCCGAGTGTGCTTTCATCACCCCACAAGCACAATATCATCGCGAGAGAGTGTGGTGTGTGGGTCTGACTGGATTCGAACCAGCTTTCTCCTGTCTCGAATGGGGTAGGTGTTCAAGCTACTCAGTATCTACTTAGGAGAACGGCCCGGATGGTGTACTACTGCACCATCAATCCGTCTGTATGCTAATAGTAAACCATCATT